TATCTGAACCTCTATGGTTGAACTAAATCTTAACTCTTTTAGAATGCATGTTTTCACATAGGGGCCTGCAGATTTTTTCAGTAAAGGGTTGGATAATATTTTACACTATGCTGCCCACAAAGAGTTTTTGTTCTTGTTATTTTACTTCTCTTAAAATTTATGTAAAAACCATTCTTTCCTAAAGGGCTATACAAAAACAGGCTGCTGCCTTGCCCACAGGTGATAGTTGCTAAACTGTCGATAAAATATTAATAAACTTAATGTCTTAAGTTTAAAAATCCTTTTTGATATACAATTTTATATCACATGTGCTGTTTTTTTTTTTTTTTTTTTTTTTTTTTTTCACTCTGTCACCCAGGCTGTAGTGCAGTGGTACAATTTCAGCTCACTGCAACCTCCACCCCAGGTTCAAGCAATTCTCTTGCCTCAGCCTCTAGAGTAGCTGGGACTAGAGGTGCGTGCCACCATGCCTAGCTAATTTTTGTAATTTTACTAGAGTTGGGGGTTTCACCATGTTGGCCAGGCTGGCCTCGAACTCCTGACCTCAAGTTTTCAGCCCACTTGGGCCTCACAAAGTGCTGGGATTACAGGTGTGAGCCACCATGCCTGGCCTTTACATGGCTTTAATATTTTGCTTTCCTCTCTTAATGTCTCTGCAACTTTGGCACTATCTATAGTGAAAGAGCATGGCCAGCTGCACCTTACCCAAGGTGGGAAAACATTCTTCCTACCTCTGCCTTTGCCTTGGTAGCCCCCTGGCATTTCTGGCAAGGAGCAACTCAGAATGGTCTGCTTTTTACATTTGCTACCCTCCATTCAAAGCCGTGTCTTACTATTTGAAGTTGTATCAGTATGTCCTTTTACAGAGTTTCAGAGTTGAACCCAGTGGGCTAGTGATTACCCAGATTACCCTCACATTCAGCTTGCAGCTGTCATCTGTCTTGTGTTGCACATGAATCTATTTTGCAGCATGCATTACTTTCTGGTGAGGGTGAATTGTGAATTGGCTATGAAACGGGGCATCCTTTCTTGACCTTTAAGGTGAATGTGGCTTCAAGGTGAAGCTGATGAAAGTGTTCAGGAGGCCAGATGTGACTTTTGTGTTAGGACCAAGCCTCACAACCAGACTTAAGCTATTTAAGGATTTGGAAAAATGAGACAGGAAGACCATATCGTTTGAGAGGCTGGCAGAAAGCGCAGGAATAATGTGTTCCTAAAGGAAGCAGGAAATGACAGGAGCCCCAGGTGTCATATGACATTGTGAATTAATTAGGTATCTCTTGGCATATTTTTGAGGATGAGAGTGGGATTAGACATCTATGACAATTGTAACTTGAGCCATTTTAATCAACTTTTAATGAAAAGTTAGAAACTAATCTTAACCTTTATGATAGGTGATTTTATTTTTCTGAATTAACTTCTTGTTTAGGAGGTGATTAAGTTTAATTTTGTATTCTCCCATACTTTGGAGGCAGCATAGTGTAGATGTTAAGAGCATGAAATTTGGAGTCACATTCCCTAGCTTGAAATTCTGGCTCCGTTATTTAGGTTAGGTTATTTTATCTTTATGCTTCCTTGTCTTCATCTACAAAAAAATGAGTTGATATTCATAAGATACCTGGAGCAGTATTTGTTATGTAGTGAATACTACATGAATAAAATTTGTAAAATAAAGGATAAGTTTTCTGAATCCAGGTTTAGCTTTTGCCTTTCTTCATGAGTTTTGAATGTTCAGAGGCATTCTCACAGGGCAGTGATCCCCAAACGCAATGATTGTTCTCTGGCTCTAGTTATTTATTAGAATAACGAGAAATCACTGAGACACTGTGTAAGGGGTTATAAGGTGATACATTTTCTACTTCTACCTTTAAGGAGTGTATGCTTAATTGTAAGGGATAAAATATACACACAGTTCAGGTAAATTGTCATGCAGGTTGACATGGTGCTGATGATAAGAGTACTTGGGTGGTGCCAGTGGAAGGAAGCTTCATGGGGTTTTGAATTGAGATGTGAATAGATTTTTTAAATGGAGCCAGGTGTGGGGCAGTAGGTGTTTATTGGCAAATAACAGTATTCTAAAAAGAATTGTAGGATAAAGGGGGGCTGGGTCAGGTGGGCAGAGTTAAGACAGGGTCAAATCAGGGATTAGTAGCCTAATAACAAAATACTCAGTTGGTTTATGTAGTTAACTTCCTAGAGAGAGCAATTTGTGTAGCTTTCCTGGGACTCTAGTTCCTCATCTAAGATGAGGAACATGGGCTCACTGGTTTGTAAAGCTCCCTCCAGTTTGCAGATTTCATAATTATTTGTATCCACTGAAGTTTAACATACATACAGATAAGGCACAAATCATTGGTGTTCAGCTTACATCGTATCCTCCAAATTAGAATTTATTTGTGAGATTTATTTATGGAGTATTTTAATTGATGCCTGACTCCTTCAATTATGCTAAACATTTAGTAAAGTTTCACATTTGTAGCCACAGTGCCAGACACATAGTTTCTTCGTGTTTGTTAAATTAATGTATGAAAGAACTTAGGTTAAGGTAGGATCACATTTGAAGGGCCTTTGCAAGTGGTAATACCGGAAAGACCTAGTTAATTTACATGAATCACTAAGAATCCCCTATAGGTTCCATGTCATTATCCATATACTTTACTTGTTAAACACTTTATTCCTCTAAAGATAAACACAAGAAAAATTGTTTAATTGACTTGGTGAGCCTGCACATTTTGATGTTCAATATGTTGGTCCACAAGTTAAAAATACCTTGAGGATTCTTTCAAATGTAAGAGCATTGTGGGAGCTGTCTTGCCTAAAATTAAGTACCTGTGATATCTTATGGAAACATAGAAGAGCCATTCTGTTAAGAAATAGATCTGCCTCATTATTATAATCTCAGATGAATTTACTTTCCTTTTTTTCTTTTCAAAGAAAATTTTATATCAATAGGAACTTC